TAGAAAAGGGCTTGGGAAGTTTGTTAATTTAAAGTAAGGTAGGCGTGGTTGAAACCCAAAAGGGGATGGAGTATGACAAGTCTGTAACCAACAGTAGCAAGATCATGAGAGTCTTTATGCTTAGAATTTTATTGTTCATCCTAATCATAATTGATGACACTGAGAACTGTTAAGAAGAGCAAATTTGTGTTTTTAAAGATATTTCTGGATTCTGTGTAAACAACTGGAAGAGCTAGTCTAAATTGGAAATGGGGTGTAGCTTAGAATAAGAAGGCAACAGAAGTTATGGAGAGATGAGGACAGGTTCAAGATATTTTTAGGAGGTAGAAACAGAGTTCAGTGAATGATTAATATAGACAAGTTGAGATAGGTATCAAGGATTCCTGCTGAGTTTTTGGCATGTGATCCTAGTGGATAAAGGAGAGTACCATGATAAATAATCCTGAAAGAAGTAAAAGTCTCGGGGCGCCTGGGTGGCTCAGTTGGTTAAGCGGCTGCCTTCGGCTCAGGTCATGATCCTGGAGTCCCGGGATCGAGTCCCGCATCCGGCTCCCTGCTCGGCAGAGAGTCTGCTTCTCCCTCTGACCCTCCTCCTTCTCATGCTGTCTCTCATTCTCTCTCTCTCAAATAAATAAATAAAATCTTAAAAAAAAAAAAAGAAGTAAAAGTCTACTAAGGATAATCAGTTATTAGCAAAAGTTGGGGCATATGTACTTTTATCTTCCTTGGAGCTATCTAAATGTAAAAGTTCAGTGACCTGTCAATAATATTTATTTTTATCTCAGGCAAGAGCACAAGACTGTAGATATTTAAACCTTTAGTCAGTCCTACAAGATCTTTAAAGACCTGATCCCTGATGAAGCTTTACCTCCCTCTTGCCACTCTGCACATTATATCATTTATTTCATCTTTAGGACTTCTGGTTCCAGACATGCCCCATCTCAGTCACATGTTGTACTGTCTTGCTTGGGTGCCTCTATTTTTTTGTTCTTCTGGGAATATCCATTCTTCCTTCCTTTTCACTTGCCTAACTCCTATGCACTCTTCAAAGTATGGAGAAGAGTTGCTCTACACGTATTTGTGTCCCTTCAGGTCAAGTGAGATGTTCCCACAGTGTTCTTCTGCACCTTGTGGTATTCTATTTCATGAACTCACTGCATGATCTTGTTTACTGATTTATCTTCTCCACCTAACTGGGAGTGCTTTGGAAGCACAGCTTGTGTTTTTATCTCTATATATCCATGTATAGCATGGTACCTGGCACATAATAGGTGCTAAATATATATGTATGATAAAATTTTACAGGTTTGCAGAAAAAGGAGGCCAAAACAATAGTCTTTGAGGACAGTGAGAGATAATTACTAATTATGTATATGACTTGATCAAAGTTTAGAATTTTCCATCCAGTATAAAATGTCTTATTCAGAGCAATCTATTTGATACTATATCTTGTTTCCATCTGTATAATTTGCCAAGTGAAGTTACCTGGTTTTCTCTGCTCATATGTTTGCCTTCATTTGATTATCAATAAAAGCATAAACAGAAACAATTCTTAACATATAAAGATATCAATAAATAATTTGGACTAAATACACAGTCCACAAATGAGAACCTGATATTTACATTGTTGGTTTTGAGGAAAGGAACACCATATTCTATTTCAGAAAAAAAATCAACAACTTGATACCTAATTGATATTAAGTTAAAATTGTATACCATGTGATTTTTAATTTTGAGCAAGTTACAATAAAATTTAAATGACATGGCAAAATCCAAACCATCCAGGTCATTTTCTCAAATATCTCAAGTCTTTGAGAAATCCAGACTTCTCTGAAAAGTCTCCTCAAAGGATCCTGAATTTTAGAATGGACAGCAGGAAAGCCAAGAGGGCTTTTTTTTTTTTAAATTTTATTATGTTATGTTAATCACCATACATTACATCATTAGTTTTTGATGTAGTGTTCCATGATTCATTGTTTGCGTATAATACCCAGTGCCCCATTCAGTATGTGCCCTCTTTAATACCCATCACCAGGCTAACCCATCCCCCCAACCCCTCCCCTCTAGAACCCTCAGTTTGTTTCTCAGAGTCCATAGTCTCTCATGGTTCATCTCCCCCACTAATTTACCCCCCTTCATTTTTCCCTCCCTGCTATCTTTTTTTTTTTTTAAAGAGGGCTTTTAAAACATATAGGAAACTGTGATCCAAAATCACAATGAATATAACTTAAAGATAGTGTCACTGAACTCCTTTACCATTCTTTCAAAACCCCTCAGCACTTTGCTTCTTTTTTATAGTAATAACTGACTTCATAGGTAGCATAAATATTTATGTATTTGTCTGAATTCCTCTTGAGTTGAAAATTCCTTAAGGGCTTGAACTGTGTTAATCTTTTCTTTCTAGAGGACAAGCAGATTGCTTGGCAAAGAGTAGGCATTTATATTTTTTGCTGATTTAATTACATGCAATGGTTATCTCTAATGATTTACTGCTAATTAAAAAATAGCATGTGTGTTTATTACAAAGGGTTGAACATCAGGACTTTGGTCAAAACGTTTCTTCTTATTCCATAATTACTTTACTATGGAAAAATCAAACCATACCTAATGTTTAATTCTTAGAGATACTCATTTTAAAGATTAAATTAAAGCTTCAATTTATCCATATTTGGCACCTGATTAAATTAAATTAGGGAAGTTAATTTAATTTTTGAGTGAGGTCTTCTCATGAAAAAATAGAATCAATACCTTTCAATATCCCTTTCATAGGTATCGTCTATGGATTTGCAGATGCTAGACCCATTGGTTACTGACATTGAAAATGTTGTCAGTTAATAAGGAAAGCAATTACTCCTCTGGGTAGAACATTCATTGGTACCAGATGATATCCCTAATTCTTGCCAGTAATGAAGGGAATCTAAACTTTCAGAATTGATGTAGATTTGAAAGGAAAATAATTTTAAGATGAACATAAAGAAGGAAATAAAACTATGCAAATCCTTCAAATATTTCAGAGAAAAAGTCTTCAAAAACCTCAGTCAGTAGGATGACAAATCTGCACAGAATTGAAAAAATATTCATTTCTTATATAAATTGTGAAATAAGTATCCTTAATAGGCATATTCTTCTCTAATTTGTATGATTTTCAAAATGTAGTAATATGAATTTTCTCTTGAGGGGGTCATTAAATCAGCCAGACTGAGTTATAGTTACATAGCTTGAGCAGATGAAAAGTGAATTATTGAGACTTTTACCTTCCTCAAACAGGGTACCAATGGAAAATTATGAACCAATATTTTCATTAGAGAAGACAAGAAATGAAATGATGGGAAAATCGAATTGATAGTAATAAAGTGCTCTGTGTTTCCACTTTCAAACTTCTTCCTCTAAAGCTATTTTATTTATAGCCAGATAAAAGTAGGATTTTAGCTGTCTGTTAGTACAGAATGTCCAGTTAGCTTAATTTCAAATGATGGATGTACTTCATGGAAGTCTAAAGAAATCATCATCATATTCTTCTTATTTCTTCCTCTTGGATGAGCCATTTATAATTTATTCATATATATTGCCCTATTCAAGCCATTAGATGGGAAAGGTTGATGAGCAAAGGTAGCTTTTTCAAACACGGACCCTTATAAAGCTTAAACAATGATGAAAAGTAATGAACAACAGAGTGAATTTGTGATATCATAAATGATATATTGTACTGTTGAATTTTCCAACAAGATAAAAGATTCAGAGCTTTTGCCTAGAGATTTCTCCTCTTCTGTAATTCATAGTGGGTTATGCAAAGTCACCAGCATTCCAGAAGCAAGATATTTGGGAAATGGATTTAAATGATTGCTTCTAAAACTTTACAAAGTGATTATTTTCTCTTCAGAAACAAAACTCAACTTCTTGAGGAAGTGCTTTCTGATTAACAATGCATAAATTTCCTGCACTGAAATCTTACTAATCAGTTCAACTGATGAAGAAGTCTTGCTGAATTGTGGGATATTTAAAAATGAGTACATTTTACTCATTTCAGCGTAAGTATTCAGGCAAATATCCTATTCCATATAACATTTTATATACACAGTAGGACCTTGAATTAAAATTGCCTGATGAGCAAAATAAGAATTAGAGGATCATACCCATTGGAAGTGATGGTAGGAGATACTCAGACAAAGGAATAGAGGGTCAGGGATGAGGTGTATAGTCAAAATTGTTCACAGTCCGGGCAACCAGGCAACCATGAGGGGTCCAGAACTATGTGTTTCCCTCAATGCTAATTTGTTCCTAGACAAAGAGTGCTATAGCAGACTCTGGGAATTTCCAACTGATCCTTTAGAATAGCTCTTTGCAGGAGTAAAGCAATGTTAAAGACATCTTTTCTGCTTTGATAGAGGAAGAAAACTTGTTCCCAATTGCAGTGTTTTTTCATTAAGTACAATAAAAAGAAAATCATATAGGAAGAATGAAACATGGCTGAATTTTTGGCTCTAACAATATTTTGACTCTTTGAATCTCAGTTTCCTCATCTACCAGATGAGAATGGTGAACAAAGTTATATCTATATCTAAAGTCTTTTCCAGATGCACCATTAACATGGTTAACTAATTCTACAATAGAAGATCCAGACACTGGATCCAGACGCTAAGTGAACAAATGACCAAATAAGCATGCAATCACATCAGTTATATTATCCAGACCAGAGCTTTTCAAATGCAGGTAGATATCCATTAGTGGATCCTGAAATCAACTTAATGTATTCCAACCATCATTTATCAGGAAGAAATAGAGTAGAATGGAAAATATGAGAGTGCACAACAAGAAGTAAGGACAAATATTGTTTCTTGAAGCTTATATTATGGTGGCTTATATATTCTATATTTATTTGTATGTGTACTGGGTCATAGTAAAATATATTTCTTATTCTCCATAGACATCAACAGTATTTATCAGCCACTTATTTAGAGTGTCTTTATTTGGGCTAAAGGAGAAAAGAGGCTTATACTCACCAATAGTGGGGTCATGATAATCAGGGAACTGATGACTAATAAACTGCATTGTCATTGCTGAAAAAAAAAATAAATTTAATTTAATAAAAATTCACTGATTCATCAATAAGTTATTCTTCAATGTAGTTCATCAGTCTCTCAATAAGATCTAGTGACTTATTTCTCTGAGGGACTAATTCAATTATGCAACATGAACCACCAAATGATAGAGAAATTTCTAGAGGAGAAAAAGTGTTAACTAGAAAGAAAATAATGCCAGATACTTCTCTGGAATAAATATGTCAAAATTTTCAGTGTATTTTAATAAAAATTGCATTGTAGTAAAAATAAAGCTCTAGACATAATGAGAATATAAAGTAGCTGTAGGATCCTTCTTGGCTTGCTTTGGTGTAACAGTTGGTATAGGTTGGGAAGATCTTTCCACTAAAGGTCCTATATATATTCTGTGACTTACTTATCTTCCTCATCATTAAAATAAGGAGATAATCTCTGAGGTCTCTATTATTTATAAAGGTACATGATTATATGAGTTTTTATCCTTAGCTAGCTTTTTAGTTAAAATTATTTGTCACTTTTATTGTGCCTGATCCATGCTATTCAGGTCCTTTTATTAATTTTCATTACTTTTGGGGGTTATTTCTCCAAATTCTCCACATTCTTTTCAAATCAATAATTTTATAAAATATTTATAATGTTTCTGTTATAGTATCTTCATATAAATGTCCATTATTAGGAGACAAATGGAATGCTGAAGTAAAGCAACAAAACTTGGAAAAAGAATTTGTACATAGTAGTTCTCTTCCTTTTCTCCCTCCTTCTCTCTGTGCCTCTGTGTGTATGTGTGTGTGTGTGTGTGTGAGAGAGAGAGAGAGAGAGAGAGAGAGAGAGACAAAGACTCCCTGATCATACGTTAGCCTCCCCTGAGTCTTCCTCTCGACCAAACCCTGACCTAGGTCCCTGCCCTTGCTAGACCTGCATAGCCCAGTGGTAGCAAGAATCCTGCTAAGTCAGGTTGGTGAGAATTCACCCTTGGTAGCCGATCCCCTTGGCCTGCCTTTGGCAAGAATCCTTTTAAGTCTGACAAGAATTCCCTTACTCCTGATGGCTCCTGTTAGTAATTTTCCATCCCCCAATGCTCGTCCCCACTCCTTGCCTATAAATTCCCACTTCTCCTTGTAGTATTTACAGTTGAGTCCAGTTCTATAATGAATTCTCTTTTACCTTACTACAATAGTTCCTGAATAAAATCTATTTTTACCTTTTTACTGTCCAGCTCTGGCCTCCTTTAACAATGCATTCATGCTTCAGCAAATGTTTGAAACAGGGAAGACAGTTAAATTCAACAAACCTGTACAAGGCACTAGTCTAACCCTGCTGAGAAATGAAAAGAAACAGAACCTGACCCAGTGAAAAAGAATTTCTGTTTACACTTTGATAGTGTTTACTTCCTGTCTTTGCATTGACAAAGGAAGTCTCCATATGAAAGTATTACTCAATTTGACAGTTTAGGGCAAATTTTTGAAATGCAAATTAACATTTCTTACAGAGGGCTTTAGGAGTTAGAATATTTCAGGTAAACAAACTGAAAGCCACATGTTTATTAAGTAGATATCAAGGAGAATTGGAAAACGTTTTTCATGAGTTTTAAAAAGAGCATTCTCCTCTGTCTCTTACTGCCTGTCTGGTTTAGTTCCAGCTAGAGTACAGAGGTTGGAGGTCTGGCCTCCCTTTGAACACTTGTGTTCAAAGACAGCTCAGACTTGGTAACTTTAGAACTAAAATGAGGAGATTCTCCACTCTACTCAAGGCAAAAAGATATGCACTATTCACTGTGTGACAAGAGCCTCATCATCCGTCTTATGATAATCAGTTATCTAGGCTAAAATCTTGAAGATGTCTTTGGATATTTCCCCTCTCATATCTTCCATCTAGTTTTCATGAATTTTCATTTTACCTCCAAAATATCTTTCAAGTATGTCTTAATTCTTTCTGATATTACTGTAGTTTGGAATCTTATATTTTAAATCCCTATTGCCATAGACTCAAAATTGATTTCTCCGTAGCTATTTCCTTTACTTCCCATTAACTTTCACAATGACACCACAGTCATATTTTTAAAAAATCTGGTTATTCATATGTCAGCAACTATTAGGATAAGGAGTAATGTGTCCTTCATGGGCCCATCATATCTCTTCAGGCTTGACTTCCACCACTGCCCAACTAGCTGCACTGTGTTCTCAGACTTATGGAAGGAAGGACTTTCCACCCATGAGCATGCCTTTATCCTGTGGCATAGCACAGCTTCAGCTTCTCCTTCGTTTTTATATCATACTAACAAAGGCTCTCCTTGACCAAACCTTCATCAGGCTCCTCTGAAGCCTCCTTCTAAACCAGGCCATGACCTTTGGGCATCCATGCTCATCTCTGCTTTGCCAAGTTTTAGCAGGAATCCTACTAAGTCCGTTTGGAGAGAATTCTCCAAGGTCACCCTTGATATCTGATCAAGTTCATCATCTCCAACCCCCATGATTACTTGGACTACCTTAGCAAGAATCCTATTAAGTTTATTCCACCAGAATCCTCCTTACCCTTTTAGTGATTTTCCATCCACTGACCCCCAACTTGCTCCTTGGCTATACATTTCCACTTGTCCCTGTATTTGGAATTGAGCCAAGTTCTGGACTGTGGGAGTTTTCTTTCCCCTACTGCAGTATTTCCTGAGTAAAATCTATTTTTACCATTTTACTATCCAGCTTTGTTTTTCTTTAACAATGCTAATAATATCTCCACTCAAATGTCATACTATTCCATCAACACATTTAAATTCTTCATCAACGAGGAGCCAGTACATGTGTATAACTAGGGGCTGGGTTAATTTCTATAAACCTAGGAAAGAATTCTGAGGGTGAAGAAGTTTAAAACAAATTTAAGGAAGAATATATAAGCATTTTAAGAACTGATAGATATATGTGATACAACACTTGAGAATCACAAAACCAGTATCAGAAATAAATGAATCAAAGATTTACTTCTTACACTTACATATATTTAGCATATATTTAGATGATGGAGTTTGTGCTTTCATGGAAACCTGCTGCTTATTGTATAATTGAAAAAGCCCTTCAATTCCCAAATCCTTTGACCTACCACTGAGACAGAACCAAAGAAGAGAGAGCCAGCTGAGCTTTGTTCCAGAACTTCAAAAGATAATTTTTAGAAAGTTTGATTTGTAAAAGTTTCTTTTGTGTTTTACAAAGTGGATGCCTGATGGGATATGTAAGAGCCAGTTCCCTTTGCGGAGATGATATGTAAAACAATTTTTGAAAAATCTCTCCTAAATACATGTCAAATTCAATGTTGGAGATAACTAATCTGCTAAATATCTATCGATTATACTGGGGACTAAATTTTATTTATTTTATGATATACAGATTTACTTCCTTAAAATCTGAGGATTCTACTTTGTTTTGTCAAAGAACCATTCTGTCAGAAACTCAGTAATAGCTCCCCCTTTCTCTGTGGAGGTTTATTGTATTGACTTTATAATATCTGAATTCATCAGTTTTTAAGTATCTAGTGAAAATGAAGGTCTATGTCTCCTTCCCAAAATACAAATTCTTATACACACTTGTACACAATATTGAGCAACATTGTCCTAGCAAATAACCATAAATGTCAATCAGTCTTTTGCTTAAAAAGAGGACAACCATAAAAACTATGATTTAAGAGCTTCTGAGAACCCCAAACTCAAATCTGCCTCTCCAGAATTCCTAATATTCAGCGTAGATATCCATATCTTACTCTGCATTTTTGTTTGTTTGTTTTTAAAATATTCCTTGATGAGTAGTATACAAAGTTCTTAAACTTGAGTGTGAACCAGCTTGATGGATCAGTTAACAAAATCCACCTGGCAATCATGAACCAATTATAGTCAGTATATTCAGGAAGACACAGGAAAGGAGGGCAAGATATTACTAGACATAAATTTCACAAATATTATCCTAGACTTATTCTGTCTGTGCCTTTCCTGTTCTGTAAAAAATAACAAGAGTCATTTTGGAAAATTTTGAAGAGGAGCAAGCTCACATTTTCCATACACTTTAGAAAAGCTGCTACATCAACAGATTCAGAACAATTTTCAGGGTTTAAATAAAAAATGTAGTCTTTCAATAATGAGAGAGGTTTGTTGGCTTTTTTTGGGGGGGGGTTATGTAATGTATGTACGTATTTGAAATTGTTAAGGAATGTTCTACAAAGTACTGAAACTCTGGATGATATAAGGATGGGTCTATTTTATTCAGAGATTCACTCAGAGTCAAGATCCTTGCCAGTGCACATTTAGCAGTTCTTGTCTCAGAGACAGTATTACTGAACTCAGCAGTATGTGGATATTAGCCAGGAATAAGAATGCTGAGGAAGAAATGAGAAGGGATGATGGGAGTCAAGCAAGCACAAAAATTGGTTGGATCCCATTAGGTATCTTAGAACCCTTGATCCAAAGAGAATTATGTGTATGAATCAGGTAAATACTGATATTGGACTACAGAATCTCTGTATCAAAGGGAGCCATCAGGGTATTTATCATTTCTTTTTATGAAGGCTATTGATTTGTATATGCTAGTTTTAAACTCTCTACCTTCCTAAAGTATTTTATTATTTGAGCTATTTTTATCATGACATTTTAGGAGTTTCTATCATATAATCGACAAATAGAAACAGTTTCCAATTTTTGTTTCATAATTTATTTTGTTAATACTCACTGGTTAATTCATCCATCCACGATAGTATTAGATAACAGTGCAGACAGGGATCATCTTTGACTTTTTTCTTGATCTCAGTGGGAATAACTTTTATTTTTTATTTTTTTAAATTTTATTTTATTATGTTACGTTAGTCACCATACATTACACCACCAGTTTTCGATGCAGTGATCCATGATTCATTGTTTTTGTACAACCCCCAGTCCTCCATGCAGTACGTGTCCTCCTTAATACCCATCATTGGGCTAACCCATACCCCGACCCTCTACTCCTCTAAAACCCTCAGTTTGTTTCTCA